CTAGAAATGTTTTCATAACATCTTTCATTTGAGGGCTTAAATTGTTTTATGGATTTGAATCCCCATAAAACCTTTTGTTTTTATGTTGAGATAAGAAGTAGCCTGGCTAAAGCAGAGATATTGACTAAAATGTCTGTTATGATCGTTTTTCATAAAGTTACATTCATATGTGCATTTTATGTGTTTGCTCATGTAGCTTTATCTGCCTCCGAGATAATAAAAGTGGAAGAGCAGCCTAGGCGGTAATGTATTCAACCTGTGTGAGGGGAAACAGCTCCAAACATCAAGAAACTCTTGGTCTGACAGTCTGCTAAAATAATCCTGCTTGCTTTATGCTGTTAAGGAAACACTGAACATTTATGCTTGCTGTTGGTACAGTGTCTGACACAATGGCATATCTTACATATTTTAACTAGAGGAATACATAATTCTGACGCATATACATACATGGATGTTCTGCTTCTTGGAGAATATGTATTTTTTTTTTTTTTAATTAGGGCTCTTTATTGCTTGACCCTGCGGCATAATTTCAGAGTTGCGTTTCGTTTTGTTCCTCAGTTTAGACTTGAATTTCTCTCTGTTCTTCTGTCAGGTTGAGAGCACTTGTGTCTCGGTGTCTTTTGTGTCCGTCCTTCCCTCTGCTCAGCCTCTCCTGGCTGTTTATTTGTTCGTGGTCCCTCTTTAGTAACCGGTTAGGGCGACGCAGAATTTCACTCACCCCTGGCTGCTGTCATCCAGGAGAGTTTGAACATGTTGAGAATAAAATGGCTGTTGTTAGCTGTAGCTCCTCCGGCTGAGCAAGGGAAGGCAGTGGAGCTTGTGGATCGGGCTCGCAAGCTCCCGATGGCAGTGTGGGGCGAGCTGGTTTGCTCTTCTGCTTCTCCGCGTTCACTTCCTCTGTCTGCATTTAAATCCGTGACTTGAATTGTTCCTTTCCAGCTTTAGTTCTGAGGTGCATTGATGTACATTTTCTGTATTTTAGTGATTAGCAGTTAAGTGTTGTTGCATTTTATATAGCCTTGTTGGCAGATTAGGTTGGATTTTCACATTTTAGAGAGCATTTACACTACATTAATCTTAATACTCATTTAATCATATACTATCAACCAGAACACTTACTATAAAATAAATCCTTTAAACACTTCATTAATAATAAACAGTTGGCAAGACTGAACTGTTTAATTGTAAATTAGTTTGACTATCTCATTATTGTAACCTTTTTTCTTAACATATATTGATATGCCATGAAGAATTTTATTTGGTTCTATTTTTTCTCAAGTTTGCCTTAAAATTTTTTGTAGGAAGTCTTTATTTTGTGTATAAAGTATTATCTCACACTTATAAATTACTTTGTCAGATTCTGATTTAGATAAAGAATTGCATATTTTTATACATCTCCAATGCTAGGAAGTGAGTTTTTAATTCTAGCAGAATTATGCAGCAGTTATATAAAGCTATGAAATAAAGCCTTTTCTGTTTATTTTTCTCATTTGCATACATAAAATACTCCCAAGTCATCTAATACTTTCGTTATTTCTTGCTAATAGAAGAATTAAGAGTTTATGCACCATGTTGCCTACCAAAACTGTTTTTGTTTCCTATTCCATTTGAATACAGTTGACTGTTGAATATAGTTTGATCTGTAATTATCGGCGTGCTGTGAAGCCTGGTGCTGCAGAGCATAGTGATGAAGACTAAGGAGCGGTTGCAGTTTGAAGTGTGCGGTCTGACTGAGCATGCAGCCTAGCGCCGAGGAAGCATTTAGGGAGTGATTAGGTGGGAGCAGAGCCTGATGGCTGCACATGCAGCGGCACAAGAGACAGTCGCTTTTGAACAGTTTGAATGAGCTCAGCTGTGTGTTTCACAGGGAGCTTGCTCGAAAGGCTGAAAGGAGGGCTATTTTATAGGGATACAGTGGCATATCTGGGTTTTTAGTTTGGATGGAGTTCTCCATTGTATGTTCTGTGTCTTTTCCTGCCTTGCTAGTTTTCATCGCTGCCCTTTTCAGAATGTTGTATTAGAGTATGAAGTATTCCATGGTAGTTCTTTGTCTTCTCTGATGTTGACGGAGTAGATCTCCAGGAAGGAATAGCGTCTGACCTTTGCACTTATACAGATTGTACTGTTCTTATAAATTCATCACATTTTGAAATGTACATTTGTGAGATATTTTTAAATGAAATCACATTTTTTTCCCTTTGGCAATTTTAATAACTTTAAAACAGATGAAAAATTAAAAGTGTAGGTTTGAAGAGGCTAAATCATATTTCCAAGGTTCTAGAGATGCAACTAAAGGCCGAGTCCCTGGCCTCAGGTCATCCACCCGGTACTGACTGCTGGAGAGCATCAGCGTGGTGTCGTGTGCCGGTGCCAATCAAGCCCTTAAGATGATACCTTTGATCATTTCGTGTACTGGATTTCTGGCTTAGCTACAAATGGTAGTTTCTAATGTTAGTGATTTTGTAATGTACAACATTTCTTTTTGAATGGTACCAACTGCATTTATTTGTTTGTGGTGCTTAGGCAGCATTACCCTCCCGAGGCTTGTATTTCAGATGCCTGTGTCCCTTTAAGGGAGGGAGGTTTGCTAGAGAATTCTGAGTCCCTTTTCTTTCCATCCCTCTCACTTTATATTTGTATCGAATGAGTGAAAGCTGCCTGTTTTCCACAGGTGGTGTGGATCACACACACACACACACACACACACACACACACACACACACACACACACACACACACACACACACACACCCTATGCCAAATTTGAACACCACTCACTGTTCAGGGTGCTAAGTGGGTTAGAGTTGCAAATAACTTCCCCTTCCCATCTGCTACTACCCCAGAAGTGCAGCTTTCGTGTGTGTGTGTGTGTGTGTGTGTGTGTGTGTGTTTGGGTGCTTGAAAATATTCACATGGGTATGGACCAGAGGCCAAACTTTGTTGTTCTTCAAGAGCCTTCCACCATATTTTTTGAGACCAGATCTCTCACTTGGAAGTCGGACTGTATTAAATAGGCTGTGTGGGATGGCTAGAGAGCCCAGGAATTAGCTTGTCTCTACCTCCCTGCTGCTGAGGTTACAGGTGCAAACCTCTAGCCCTATGGGTTCTAGAAATTAAACTTAAGTTCCATGCTTATGAGGAAAACATGTTAGCAACTGAGTATTTTCTCAGGCCCAGGATGCTGGGTTTCTTGCTGTGCTCATGGGACCTATCACATACTGTTGTCCAGAGTATGCATATTATTGGCCCTTTCTGTTAGAGTATTTTATAAATAGAGTTTGGTGTACACAGGCTTGCTTTTTATTCCTGTGTTCTCTTTCAAATGTAGTAGGATTTTAAATTTAAATACTACATTGTTCTTTTAAATTTCTGACATAGTGTTCTAACACTTTTAGCTTGAATTTACAATAGGAATTCTTAGTTTATAAATTAAAAATATAAAATGTTATGCCTTAACATTCAAGCAAATTATTTTTAATAAATAAAAAGTATGCCCACAATAAATCATAGAACATCATTCTGTATCCTTTAATTGGCTACAAATAGTCTAATGATTTTGTAGATTTACTTAGTGATGATTTAGGCTGGTAGGCTGGGGTAGAGCTCTGGGATCCATGTGGAAGAAGGAGATAGTAGAAGGAGTGAACCAACTCCTGCATGTCGTCTCCTGTCCTGCATGTGTGTGCTGTGGCACACCCTCCAATAAACAAACAAACAAACACAGTTAGTGATGATTCATTAAGATTTTTGCTAATCAGTATGTTAATGATGGTAAGTTTTTAAAACAATTGCTTCTTTTTTGTACTTAAATATATTTGATATTAACTCTGAAAAGTTGGATGACTAAGTTGTATGTTTATAATAGCTGGGGGGCTTTTGGCATTTTATAGCTGTCAGGAGGAGGAGGGTTAGTTTTTCTTAAGAGTGTAGCCCATGGTCTGTCAAAAGGCCACAAGTCTAAGGATATTTGCAAACACAAATTGGACTTGATGGGTTTCAACTATAAAGAGAATGCAAAGTTGGGAAGGTAGATAAGAAGGGGTGGATCGAGGAGGAGGGTGGGGAGCTGAGAAAGATCAAAGCATATTAGGTGGAATATTCAAAGAACTAATTAAAAACAATGTCTTTGTTTTGCTGTTGTGTGTGAGGAAGTCTTTGGCTTCTCTTAGACAGTCTTGCTGGATAGCTCAAGCTGCCTCAGCCTTCCAAGTATTGGGATTATAGGCATGTGTACCATACCTACCTTATTGTAGTATCTTGATTAACCAGTGTGGGAAGAAGTAGATATTGATAAATTGAGGACATTTTCAGCTAACCAAAGGTTTGTCAAAATAATTCAATGAAATTGCATAGCATAAGGACACTAATATTAGAGATAGGCATCTGTCTGTCAATCTTCTTTAGGCCTCATTGTGTATCATGAGAAAGAAGACCTTTATCTAATACTCAGCTTTGATACACAGTCAGATCCTGAATTACAGTGTTAGTACACATTGAAGGAAGCATCCTGGAACACAGCGTGAAGTTTGAAACTATCCTTGAGCCAGTGATTCTGAGCTGCCCTCTCTGGTTTCTAGCAGAGTTAGGTGCTGGCTGCCAGAGTTCCGGTGCTGACTGGGTCCCAGAGGTCATTGAGAAGGTGTTTTGTTATGTGTGATTAGACCGATCACAGAATATTATTGATGGGATAAAATGTGTGTCTGTGATATGTGCCTAAGGTAGATTCAGGGAGTTGCTTGCATTTATTTTCTTAAACATTAGTTCCTTTAACCTTTTTGGCATATGAGCAATTCAGAATACAATTGGAATTCTTTCTTCCTGCCTAGTAGAAAAGCAGTATTTTAGTGTTTGGGGCTATTTCTTAGTTTTCTGGTTCCTAATTGTGTCCTTGGTCAGAATGGCTCTCAGAGGTGCATGATTGGAGCCACAGGTCATTTGTTCTGTGTAGATGGGATTTGAACAGTTATACATACAATAATTTTGACTTTTTTTTTTTTAAGGAGGAATTCAGGGAGCTTCGAGAACAGCCGAGCGACCCTCAAGCTGAACAAGAGCTAATTAATAGTATCGAGCAAGTCTATTTTTCTGCGGACCCGTTTGATATTGTTAAATATGAGCTGGAGGTAAAAAGAAACTTTGATTAAAAGACATCTAAAGCTTATTTTCTCAGTGCATAGGAATGACTTTGTGAGATCGGAAGTTTGGAGAGAACTAATATTTCTTAATAACACTAATGGGTCTGTGATTATCACAATGTGAACTTACTGAACTATTAGCCCATGTTATTAAGTGCAGCTCGAGCGTGCTGGGTGGGGAGGCAGCATGTTGCAGTGCTGCTTCTCATCATGTTTTCCCCATTACCTAATATGTTCAGGAGATGCCAACCAAAGTGAAATTTAAAACGTAATTGTTTAAGATTTAAAATGAATGCTTAGAAAAGCTATGTAGGACCTTTTGTTTGTACACAGGGCCTGACTCTAGGTGTTCGGACTGACTTCAGCTCCTAGGTTTAAGTGACCTTGCTACTCCAGCTTGGCTAGGGCACTGACTCTTTTGATCATGACTATGTATTGTGCTGAAAGGCCCCTGTACAAAACTGTCTGAATGCTGACAGTATAAACTCATGGGACTCCGTAAGAAAAGTCAGAATAGCAAAATACCTTTACACTTGGAATCTGTTTCCCAGCTTATACAATTGCATGTTCTCTTGCTGCTTTTCCATGCTGACTTAATTCAGAGTGTTGCCCGTCACCGTGGTATTCAGTTCATTCATAATATTCCAGAGGCAAAAGTCTACGTTGAGATTTCTTATAATTAAGGGTAGCAGGTAGAGTGAGGGATCAATGTTAGAACTTTTCTTGATTTCTTCTGGCCTGAATTGTTTGTAAACACTCCCTGTTGGGAGGCTGGTGGAGTCTGGCTTCCTGGAGGAAGAGCAGCTGCAGAGGGTGTGGCAGGACTGGACAGGGTGGAAGCAGAGGCTTGGGTAAGACAGCTCCGTAGGCTTTGTGCCTGGAGTTGAGCAAACATCGGAGGACAGTGGGATGGGCCACTGTTGCATGTCCACTTTGTAGTGCTCTAGGTGGAAGTGTTCTGGGAAAGGAAACTGAATTTGTTGAACTGTTTAGCTTTTATTTATTCATTCATTCATTCATTCATTCATTCATTTTTTATTTATTTATTTATTTATTTATTTATTTATTTATTTATTTATTTATTTATTTATTTATTGCTATAGAAGCTTCCACCTGTTCTCAATCTGCAAGAATTGGAGGAATACAGAGACAAATTAAAGCAACAACAAGCTGCAGTAAGTAAAAGCATTTGTTTTTGGTGAAACTGTACATGAAAAGGAGATGTAATGTTTATAGAGAAGAACTATAGATTAATATATACACATCCTGTTGTCAGTCACGATTCAGTGACGTGTTTGTATTGTTTTATGTCGCTGTACTTTTCTTGCTGTTGCTTTGGTAGGTTTCCTTTTGGAGATTGAGGCCCTGTCTAGATCCAGGATGTACTCAAAGGGCTTAGAGCTTCCCCCCAGATTAGGAGGCACCTGTAGGTGCCTGCTTTGTCTCTATGACTTCCCTATCCAGGATTTTGTAGTGGAACATCTCTTAATCTCAAAGTAGAAGTCTCACTTACAGTTGAACTGTAGTAAAGAGAATGTAGAACTACGAGTCAGAAAGTCATAGTTGTCGCTATATAACTGTGACAATGGGCAGCTTGCCTAACTTCACTGACTCTTGTTTTACTTGTACAGTGATAGGTGGGCTCACATTTCCTTTAATGCTATGAAGTTCTGCGATTCTGGACTTCCTTTGTGTGAAGCTGAACTTTTATGAAGTTCACTGGAAGATTAGTTAATGATACAGTGGTCTTATAATTATTTTAAGCTAGAGTTTGGATTTAACACATGATTGTTACTAACGCATCTCCAAGTCCAGGAAATAAATGCTCCTCTTGTCTCTTACCCACAGAGGAGCACTAGGAGGTTTTGTTGGGGTCGGGTAGCAGTGGGGTGTACAGTGCAGACTAACAGTGACCACACCAGCAGTCTTCCTCGTGAACTCAGCGGGATACAATTAGAAGGGCTCTTTCTGCATGTTGTACACATTTCCATGTGGCGGATTTTGTGATGTAGAGCTAGAGCTTCTTGACTTCATTTTCTTATGGCTCCTCCCTGACACTTTCTTATGGGAATTGTGTTGTCTAAATTAAGCTATTGTTAGTCCTGCAGAGTCTTTAGAATTGTTAAAACAATATTGAGGATTAACATTGAGGTTTCTTCACTATCTGGTCTAAAGCTGTTTAAAGCTTGTTTGTGTTAACTTTAATGAAATACTTCTTAGACAAAAACAGTGTATATAGAAAATAGTTTATATCACTTCAAAGTTGTTATATGCATATTAAACAAACATTAAAGGGTAAATGGAGTCACTTAATATATTTCAAAGTTTGTTCTCATATGGACTGGGGAAGTGGAGTTAACTGTGCACCCACTAAGTACCTGCCCAGTACTGAAAGCTTGGTACTAGATGTTATGAATAGTTGAAAAGGCCCCTAAAGTTTAAGAGCCTTATGTTCAAAGTCATTATATTATTAACCTGTGCACACTGATATTATTCATGGAGTTGGAGAACAAAACCTTCATAGTGTTCCAACTAACCAACAAACCCAAACAAACTGATGAAGAAACCCACATATTTTTAGCTTTTCAAAGTAGGGCAAGAAGTGACTTGTTTATTTTCTAATGTGGTGTAAGCAGCAAGCAGCTTCTCTTCCCTACAGATGAATTATCTCTGTAAAATCAGTTAATTAACTTTTATCTGAGACCCTTCCCCTTGAAAATGGTTGTGCTTTTCTTGGTGTTTGTTAAGTCAGAAAGTGAAGCACATATTCCCAACATGCATAGGGCCCTTCATTGAGTTTCTAGTGAGGTTATGTCTTATGTTGCTGCTACGCTATTTTATACTTACTTCATAGCCTAAGTAAATGTTTACAGGATGATCATTCTAATACTGTTCCAGAAGTTATCACAGAGACTTATATTACTGGCTAAAGTTTGAAGTATATAGTATAATGGAAAGTGTGAGGGAGTTTTCATTATTTCTTCTATTTGATTGTATGTTCTTGTAGGTCTCTAAAAAAGTAGCAGATTTGATTCTTGAAAAACAGCCTGCTTATGTAAAGGTAGGAAACTCTTTGCCACTTATTGTAGTAAAATTTTAAAATTGGTTGAGTGACTTACTTGAAACTTAAGATATACAAAAGTTATTCTTTTGTCTATATTCTATAGCAGTATAGTGTGTGCATGTGTATGCATGTGTGTATGTGTATATTTGTGACATTTTACTAAACTGAATATAGAAGAACCAATGAAAATTGCTCTCATGAACTTTGTGTCAGTTGTATACATTGGTAATTCAATCTGGGTTATTGTGAAAGTACATTGCTATTGGAACTCGATCTGTATAGCTGGATCTCTGTCCTCACAAGAAACAGAGAGCCTTACATTGGAAAGAAGTTTTGTTGGATAAGAATGCTTGAGGCATATGCATGGGTTTGGATTCCAGTACCCATGTGAGGAGTTGGGTGTGTTTATATGTGTGCCTGTAACTCCAGTGTTGTGGGACTTGGAGACAGAAGGATCACTTGGAGCAGAAGGATCAATTTGCTGGTTTTCAGCCTAGCTCTGGGTTCAGTGAGAGACCCTGTCTAAAAGGACCATGGAAGAGTGACAGAGCAGGACATCCAGTATCCTCTGGCTTCTGTGTGCATGCACAATTTCTCATAGTGCACGCATACATTGAAAAGGGAGGGAAAAAAGAAATGAAAAGCTTTCAAAATTCATGGAAACCCCTTAGCAAACAGAAATCAGGTTTGTCATATCCGTAATTACATTATAAAGCTATGTTGGGCAGAAGCATACATAAATGGATATATTATTGGTATGTATTCCTGCCTGAAACAGATTGATTGGGTTTAGATTTCCTTCCAATACTGACTAAATATTTTGTCATTTGTCATTGTGGAAATCAATTGGAAGTAGGTATTTTAAATTAATTTTCATGTAATGTTCTAACAGTTTTCAAGTTGAAGTATCTTTGTTACTAGTTTGTTTTCAAAGCTGGCTTTTCTTTGAAAACACTAGAGTCTTTGCTAGAATGTCATATGAGTAGGAAGACAGCAAATGCCTGAGACCGTAATCTGTCTCCTCTTGGTACAGGAGCTTGAAAGAGTGACTTCGTTGCAGACAGGTCTTCAGCTGGCTGCTGTTATCTGCACAAATGGGAGGAGGTATTGCTTTCTATGAGTTTGTTCGCTAAGCTCAGAACTATTTCAAGAGCAGCTGTGAGATCTCTTATTGATCCTGTGGTATTGTTGATATTGTTGATACCATAATATATAGAGTACCCTTCAGTAAGCAGACAGGTAATCTAAACCTGCCGAATACCCACAAATTTCCTTATAGGTTAGAAAATCAATGAAACTAGTACTCCCACTGTTTGTAGTGAAGAACCAGTGTGTTCTCCCCGCCTCCCTCCTTCTCTCTGTTATAGGCTATTTTTGTAATATACAATAGAAACAGATTATAAGAAAAGAAAAGGAAACAACAAATGCTACATCAGTTCCATTTTTTTTATTACTAGGTTTACAAATAATAAGATTATTCTGTCCATCTTCGCACTGTTTTGAGATGCCTGTTCTTAATCGCTGTGCTTTGTTTACCATGGCCATGAGCAGTTGATGGGTGGCAGCAGTCCACCCACCATGTGTGAGTGATGCTCCTCACTTCAGTAGTAACCTGGGTCTCGAGCTCATTGCTTGCCTAACTGCTGTGTGTGGGTAGTACTCCTGTCGTATAGGAAGTTCTCACGCTGGTGTTCCCATCCTCAGACACTTGAATATTGCGAAGGAAGGTTTTACTCAGGCCAGCTTGGGCCTTCTTGCAAATCAAAGGAAGCGTCAGTTGCTGATTGGACTTCTGAAGTCGTTGAGAACCATAAAAACGTTGGTATGTATGAGTCACTTTTTAAAAATTAAAACTTGTAGACTAGAGAGATGGTTCAGTAATTAAGAGCCTAAACTGCTCTTCTAGCAGACTTGGTTCAATTCTCAGCACCCACTTTCGGCGGCTCACACCTGCCTGTGACTAGGGGCCATGGGGTCTAGAGCCTCCAGCCTCTTCAAGCACCTGCGCTCACATGCTGATACTGCCCCACTCTTATGTGCACATAATTTAAATTGAAAACAAAATCTTCAAAAAAATAATAGTTTCAGAGTTGAAACAGATTTGACCTTTGATTTTTTTTCCTTTTCAGCAAAGAACGGATGTACGCCTAAGTGAAATGCTAGAGGTAAGCTAACAAACTTTGTAAATTTCTTGATGCTAAATTAATATTACAAAGAAAAATCATAGAGGACAAAATTCTAATTGAATTTGATTGGTATCTGCCATAAGGGGAACATTTAACAGGAAAGGTACTCGAGCCTTTTTTGTCAACATATTTGGAAAATGAAGTTTGTTTCGGAAAACATTTACTTTGTAGTGGCCTATGCATGCTGGCTTTAGGCTTTTGCCATTGTCCAAACAATCAAATTAAATTTCACAATGAACTTATAGAAGTGACTTCTGAAATGAGTAATATTTTCCTTATATTTGGTATTTCATATAGTAATTAGTTTCTCAAGGTAGCCATCTGTTTCTCTTTGGTATTCTCTGTCACAGTAAGCCTTAATAAAGCATAATGACAAATATTATGGAAAATTATACTTGATCTTCCTGGGATAAGTACGTTGTCATTGTCTTAGCATCCATGGTGTTTGAATTATATCTGCTGGATTTAAATACAAGCATAAAGAACTATTTTTGTGGTTTTCTGTATAACCAGTGTTACTTCTAAACTATAACTACTCCATTAGGCTCTGAGACATCTATGGGAAATACTCATTTGACATTAAATTACGATTTGGCTAACAGCATGTTCTTAAGTTACTCGGTTAATTAGTTAATTACTATGACAAAATACCTGAGAGAATAAACTAATAGGGAGATTTCCCCTCAGGGTTTCCAAGGTTTCAGTTTATGGTCACTTGGGTCTGTTGTTTTTAAGGCTGTGGTGAGGCATTCCAGCATGGCAGAGGACCTAGCAGATAAATATCACTTTACTCGTCTCTTGGCAGCCAGGAAGGGGAGAGGGGTGCGGAGGGGAGGGCACATCCACAGTGACCTGCTTCCTTCCAGTTGGCCCTACTTCTTGAAGACTGCACTGCAGGCTGGCCACCAAGACTGTCACATGGGTCTTTGGGGTATAGTTCAGTTTCAAGCTATGCAGTTGCCAGTATTTTTTCAGAAATATTTATTGATCACTTGGTGGTAAAACAGTTGAAACCTACTTGTGAATAGAATTCTGTAGCTGGAATGTTTCTCTCCAGGTCCTGCCAAGCCCCCGCAGTCCCGCAGCCCACTTATAAAATAGTCACTCAGAAGCTTATATTACTTATAAACTGTGTGGTCATGGCTCAGGCTTCTTGTTATCTAGTTCTCATATCTTAAATTAACCCATTCTATAATCTATAAGTTGCCACGTGCCTTGTGGCTTACTGATATCTTAACATCTGCTTCTTATCTCAGCTGCTAGCAGCATCTCCTGACTCAGCCCTCCTGTTCCCAGAATTCTCCTCTATCTTTGTCCCTCCTATACTTCCTGCCTGACAATGGGCCAATCAGTGTTTTATTTATCAATCAATCATCCATAGCAGAAGGCAGACTGTTTGGCACATTTTTTTAGAAACATTACAGGAAGATACCCAAAAGCTAGAGAAAACCCTCCCTGGGAAGCAGCTCTGACTCTGTAAGTCATGCTCTGGGGAAACTGTTACACAGTATTCGAAGGAACAGAGTAGTTGCACAGTTTTTCTCTATGTATATTTTAGACCTGAGGTTAGTTGCCTGTTGTGTTAGTCATCAGTCATTAGCAGTCTGCTGTTTGATTAGAGGCATATTGTTGGGTTATCAGCAGCAGGGCCGTGTTTCTAGTCTAATGTCTTCCCCTCTGTCCTAGGAGGAGGACTACCCAGGAGCGATTCAGCTGTGCCTGGAGTGTCAGAAGGCTGCCAGTACTTTCAAACACTATAGCTGCATAAGGTAAGGCACCACCTGATGCTATTGTCAGTCATTTTATTTAGGACCTGTTCAGCATATGATGTCAATAAGCATTGAGGCTTAATATGGAGTTCTTGGTTTAACACTTGTGTTCTTAATGGGCACTACAGTAAAGTAATGCACAGCTGTTAAGGTATGGAAGAGCAGATGCTTTTCAATCCTTCCCCTTGTTACCTCTTAAAACTCTTTTCATGGTCTTTCCAGTCTTAGTGATGTCATTTTGGTACACTCATAGGTGAGAATAAATCTGTTCCTATCTTCCTTGGATCTCTTGAGGACTATTCCTCTAAGCTGGTGGTTCTCAGCTTGTGGGTCATGACCCCCTTGGGGCGGTATCAAATGAACATTTCACAGATACTGAATGTCAGATGGCCTGCATCTCAGATATTTACACTGTGATTCATAGCAGTAGCAAAATTACTGTTAGAAAGTAGCAATGGAGTAACTTTATGGTTGGGGGTCACCACAGCATGAGGAACTGGACTAAAGGTTGCAGCTTTGGGAAAGTTGGAAACCACTGGACTAAGCTTTGTCCATCATGGAAATGTTGAGAGTATTATTTCAGCTTGTTTTAAAGATCCAGATGGTTCAAATGGTTAGTCTTTTGGAAAATTTAAATATTATTTTAGTTTATATAATAACCATCTTTGTGGTATTTAGTGATTGTATTTTAATGTGTTTTGCTTCTTGTTTGAAGTGGATATTTAAAAAATATACAGTGTTGAACTGGCTGCCATTTATTAACTGTCATTATTAAAAAGCTTGACAACAGCATTTCCACTTAACTGGATTATCTAAGTGAATATAGAATTTCCTCTAGTATGTTGACTATACTCAGAAGTCCCTTTCTTCCCTTCTTCTTCCATTCGTTTTAATATTTTTGCTTTGCAAAGGTGGGAATTGAACCCAGGGCCTTGCACAGATACTTGGAAACTTCTGACATGTTCTGAGTTCCAAAAAAAAGCATAGAGTGCCCATTTAGTTATTTTTTTGGTACATTTGTTACAGTGGTAATAACTTGGCTTTGGGAGGCGGTTGTGCGTCTACTGAGTGTTTATACCAGGTTCTTTGCTTTGAATGTGAAGAGACTGTGGGGGACCATACACAGTGCAGCCAGTACAAACCTTTATGTGCTCTTGCATGGACTGAATAGAGCTAGAACTGGGCGTGCAAAGCCAACAGTACCCATGCACTAGGAGCACTGAGATCTCACTTTTCCTCCAGGCATTGCCCTTGGGGGGTCTCCTAGGAGGACCTGAAGGAAGAAGGGACTGAAGGATAGTTAGGACAAAATAAAAGAGCCATGGATAAGAAATTCCTACACCGTGAGTGAAATCTTAATTTTATTTGCCAGGCAAAATGAGGACTGAGAATATCTGTTGTATTTATCAACAAAGCAGTCATAACCAACCATTTTGGAGTCAGATTTAGGGAGAGTTGGCTGAAGTGGAGGTGTAAAATGAGGAAATTTTGTGAAAACACATGGAATTAACAAAGAAACATGAATATTTGAAAGTTGATGGAAAAGAGTAAGATCTGGAAAGTAAAATAGAACATAAAACGCCGGACTTTGCAAGGACTGACTTTGCAAAGGTCACTGTCTATTACAGGAGGAAAGGGTGAGTCTAGAATTTGGAGGCAGGAAATGGAGGAAGCTGGTTAGCTGTGGAAACTATACTTTCCATTAATTAAAAATTCTATTTTAGTTATGCTAAAGTAAATGTCTTCTATAACAAGATTTAGCTGTAAAATGTCTGAAAGTAATTCCAATTTGGGCTTTTTAAAGTTAGTAGGAAGTGCCACTCAAGACCTTTTATATATTAATGGATATTGTGATACACAGAAGGGGTGTTATCAGACATGAAATTGAAAGTGATCTGAATGACAGTCTCAATTAATAGTTGCTTGATCTTAGAACGCACACTTTGTTTATATACATGAGAGAGAGTGATGTGTGTGAGGCTTGTCTTTTTCTATGAATGGGTAGAGGTGCACTTGCATGTGCCAAGAAAGTTGGGGTTGCATGAGTTCACCCTAAGTTCCTTAAGAAAACTGCTGAATGGAGTTGGGTTTTTACCATGTGATTTCTCTAACTGTGCAGCTCAGTAGGGCTGTTTGCTCTCTGCCCATGGGAGCAGAGTTTGCTTTGTCCTGCCTAGCGCTGCCACCTCCCATTCACTCCATCTCTCTATGCTACTCCTTGTTCCTGTTTGGAAGAAACACATGTTTCTTTCTTTTTAAGAAATAGTTACTCAGTTTTGAGATTGATTTATAGTTTTATGTATTAACAGTTACATATTTATGGAGTACAAAGTGATATATAATTTCCCTATATAGCATGTAATGGTTAAATCAATCCAGTTAACCTATTATGACCTCAAATATTTGATTTTCTGTGATTAAAAACATTTGAGTTTTTATTCCTATAGCAATGTTGAAATAGACTCTCTTCAGTTAGTGACATTCTGTCTTTTGTACAACAGATCTCTAAAATGCAGAACTTGCTCTGTGTTACTAAGGCTTTGTGTCCTGTGGTGATCCAGTGAATCCCCAGTGTGTAGACCTGAGAATCAGTAAAAAACAATTTGACACTCTATTAATCTTAGGAGTAATATTTAATTTACAATTGAATCTCTATACTCAAATTTTAAGTACTATTTAAGTCTTTGATTCTTGTTGAATACTAGAGAATCATTAATATTCTCCTATAATTATTTATTTGTATTTATCCATTTATTTATTTATTCATCCATCTATCTATCATCTATCTATCTATCTCCCCACCCCTCCCCTCTATTTATTTTGAGACAGAGGTTGCCGGGAACTTGCCATATATGTAGGCTGGTCTCAAACTTGTGCCTCTGCCTCCCTAGTGTTGGGATTGAAGGTGTGTGCTACCATGCCTGCCTCCTCCCCTTAGTAGAAATGTCTTTAAGAGAACTACTTCATGATTTAGAACATTTCTGCATTCTGATAGATTTTTTTTTTTTTTAAGTTTCAGTTAAGTTTTATGAACCATGTATCTCCATGTCTTAATTTGGTCTTGATTGTTAGAGGGTTCTAGTCACATGACTCCTTTATTTGAAATAAAATGGAAAGATTGAGGTTGAACAAAGAGGTCTAATGGCCTAAGAGGAGGTGCAGAGTAGATTAGAGACAATTTAGGCTGACTCTTAAGGGTCTGAAAGCAGGAAAACTAGAATTTACATTTTGCTTTTTTTTTTTTTAACCAAAAATTCACCTTTCCTTTATTTTTTTTTTAATTTATTTTACAATACCACTCAGTTCAACATAATAGCCACAGATTCCCCCGTTCTCCCCTTCTTGCCCTCCTCCCCCTCCCCCCAGCCCACTCCCCATTCCCACCTCCTCCAGATCAAGGTCTCCCCCGAGGACCGGGGTCGACCCGGTAGACTCAGTCCAGGCAGGTCCAGTCCCCCTCTCCCACCCTCCCAGACCGAGATGGCTCAGCCGTTAAAGGCTAGGCTCACAACATTTTGCTTTTATATAAGGAAACAGTGGCCCTGTGTGAGGGACCTCACCTAAGATGCCTGCAGTTTAACACTCACTGTTCCAAGTGAGACTTGAGGTTCTCCGTTGTCTACAAAGTGAAAGGCAGCAGGCACCTCTTCTGTGTCTTTGTTGAGATGTGCTGTGTTTCAGAATCCTTAATAAAATAAACTGTAATACCAATTTTGTTCACTTTATGACTGACAGAGAACCTCTGCAATGTTATTTGAAAATTCTTGAGTTGATTGACATGGAGTCATATAGTTGAAATTTACTGGGAATAAGATTCACAATGTGTTTATGTTAAAGTGTATCTGAATGAAGTATTTAGTTTCTTTTTTACTTGAAATTTATCTAAATTAGTTTCAAGGAAAGTTGTCCCGGAAGTCATAACTACTTTATTACTTTTTATTTCATTGGAGAGAAACTCCTTGACAGACCCTGAGAGCTCTGTGTTATTGTGGGAAGTTTGTGAGTTGTCAGAACTAGTTTGTTCAGTGCAGCACTTTACCATAACACAATATTTAAAGAATCCTATATGTTTTTCTCAGACTACGATCTTGACAGTTTTCGGAACTTCAGTTATATAGTAAATGTCCACAGCTTTTAGCTATGGACACATCTGTGCTGAGGATTTTCCTTCTTTGTTTTCCCAAATTCGGTAAGAATAAGAATTCATAACGTTTGGAGATGTTTGACTATTTAGCATCCTTAGGTGTGGACTCCACACTTTGTTCTGATTGGTTGTGTTAAGTTATGCAGGGGACTTCTGGACAAATTGAGGACAGAGATGCGATTATAACCAAAGTCATCTTATCGGTTCTGCTGTAGTCATCATACTTGCTTTGGGAGGTTGTAGAGACACTCCATGGCTTCTCAAGGTTGTTGGTTTAGTTTTACAGTATTGGGAAGTCAGGTCTTCTTTGAGGCTTGTGGATAAATTCTCCTTCCCATGAGTAGATTTGGAACCCTCTAGGGTGGCTCTAAGCTAAACAGACTAATATTTTCATGGACCATGGATATAAACTATAAATTTTGGAATTCCATTTACTTATATTCATTCTAAAAGTCTTAGAACTTGCCAAAACCACATAGAAAGATGTGATAATTGAGTAACAGGTGGTCAGTATGTGTTAGACTCAGGAAGTCTTAGAGCCAGAAGTCTTGCGGAGTTAGCCTACCTTATATACAAACTGATGCCCAGAGATCTTAAGGGAGTTGACTTGAAACCTTATAAGTCCCAGGTCAGGCAAAGTTCAGCACAATGCTGATTTTCTGTATACTATCTTGTCTTTTTGTATCATCAGATTTGTATAAAGGTTTGATTTATTTTCAGTCTTCCTAAGGTGTGTGTGTGTGTGTGTGTGTGTGTGTGTGTGTGTGTGTGTGTGTGTGTGTGTATAGGGCAGGTACATAAAAGCACTTAATTAGTTATTTATGGGTACATTATCTTTACATTTTCTCTAGTGATGCCTGGACTCAGCAGAAGCATTCAGTCCATTCTGTTGGGCTTGCAGAGAGCGTTTAAAAGCTCCTAGCCTTCCATCTTAGAACTAGGGTTTTTTTTTTTTTTTTTTAACCACAATGTAGCTTTTATTTATCAAAATGTTTATGGGTAAATCTTTTAATATACTTTGATTAAGTGACTAAAATGGCTTGAACTCAGCATTTCTAAGTGATACCCAAGGACTTCTTTAAAAGCTGCACAGCTAATGCCCACTCCTTTATCACTAATTTTTCTCTGTGTATATTTAATTAGTAGTCAATTGTGGGCAAACCGCAGTTGGAGATTTCGAGAGCCTCTTTAATAAAATGAAATTGATTTCTAGATTTTATATTTATAGGCTTCTACATGCTGTTTACATACCATGCTCACAGAAAGAGAATGTTGCAGCTATAAATAAGAACTGCAGTAAAACAACAGCTAGATTTAGTTTTATAAATAACCATTTTTGCAGTGACTGCATAGTGTGAATGGATTTAGAGACGCTTCTTTTCCCTCCCAAGTGAGACTGTCCCCTAGAAGGAAGTGGTTACTAGTTCTGCAGTGCCACTGTGCTGTCATTCTTGCTCTCTGTCGCTCTGGCTCCAGCTCAGGCTCACATGGCAGAGGAGAGTGTCTAGGTTTAGCTCTGCCTATTTCTCTGTTGCCGAAGCACCTGCAGACCCAGAGTCTAATGGGCTGTTCTCCTTCTCCTTCTGTCTTTTATGGTCTTAGGTATTAAAGTAGAAATGGGAGCTAATGAATGATTTTTCTTGGCATTGCAGATATGACCCACAGATTTTTGTTACTGGCTGGCCAACTCAGGTAGTGAGTTTAGTCCTGGGGTGTCTCCTGGAGGCACAGTCACAGTCCCCATTGTTTAATAGAAGGGATGATGAACAGAGTAATGGTATCTTTGGGGAACAGGAAGTGAGCAGAAGAGAATCTCCTAGAGAAGATGACTTTTGGGACTGGAAAGCTAGGTGGGTGTTTGGTAGAAGAGGTATTCTAGTTGTGAAAACTGTGAGCAGGAACAGAGGTTGTGAAAGTCTGGGGTTTGGTTAGGGAAGTGCATGGGTAAAGGATAAAGCATTGAAAAGTGAATGGGAAGTCCAGGGTCTCACATTCCACGCTGACTTTTGTTTTGTCCTTACTTTTTGGGAAGCTACCAAGGTATATATTGAACATAGGACGTTGTTGTCATCTTACTTTTGATTTAGGTACTGCAAACGTCCTTGTGTTTAAGAACCAGGCAGGCAACAACAATGTGAAAGTGCGGATAAAAGACCACAGGGAGTAAGGCAGGAGGGCTCATGGGCCTGGGGAGAACTTGTTCTGAAGTGGTTATTTATTTATTTATCTATCTACTTATTTATTTATTTATTTATATCTATTTATTTATTTATTTGAAGAAAATCTGCATTCTGCTTATAAGTATTTCTTTAACCTATTGCTGTGGATCCTATCATGTGTCAGTTCTGGCTAGAGATCTGAATTTTTTAAGGCATAAACCCTGAAATTCTGGGGGCTTAAGGATCTAGTTTTGCTCACTGTTGGTTTTACCAGAGAACTTAACTGCCAGCATCTGAGTTTAGGTGAAAAAAATATATATATGATAAGCATTGTATGTTTTTTAAAAAGTAAAATTTTCTCTGTAGGTGTGAACATTTATCCTTTAGACTATCAAAGACTTGATGCTGCTGGGTTTCCTTTCTGGTGGATTGCTTTGTACCTTTATGGCTGGCTGTGTACCTGGCTCCCTGTGGTGTTAGCTCCTTGGTGTGCATTGAGAGGCTCTGGAAGGAGCAAGATAAGGAGCCCATGTAGGTCTGTGGTACGAGAATAGGGTTGTCAAGGGTGCTTTGGCAATGAGTGTTCCTCTTTATTAAAAAAATTATAAAATTCTTCCAGAGGCTGATGACATCAAAAGTAAACTTTCTTCTTCTTTTGTATGTTTTTTCTGCCCTTAAGCTACTAGAGTGCTTTGATCTTATGCATGGTGAATTGTGCATTGTGATCCTCCCTATTTGCATGGGCTACCAGGAATTTGAGAGCCAAGTTCATCATTAGCAGATAACACTGAAAAAAAAAACCTAAGATTTGAATGTGTTGAATTAAATCTTATACTCATTACTTTAAAAAATTTGTCAGTGTTTTTTGAGATTGAATTTATTTTATTGAACTTCAGAGACCCTTTTTTGATAATATATAATTAAAATAGTATCAACTTGAAGATTTTTGTCTGTTACAAATAGGCTCCAAGAATTGTGTGTGCACTTTGACTAGATGTGTGCACAGCCCTGTAATAGCTGAGAGATAGCCTGCCTGAGTGTGGACCGCAGTAGCATTTAAAGTTTTCCAGAGAGCTTATTGGAATGTTCCCCTCTTTCAAGCATTTCTTGAATGTTCCATTTGTTGCACATCCAGCCAGAGTTGGAGGATGCAATCTTGATTTAAAAATAATCTTCTGGCCATTCTGCTTGTTACTTTGCTGTCTTTCATAGCTGCTTTTCCAGAATGACTGATGGATTCAAGTGCCACTTATTGTTTTATTTTGTTTCTGTGCATTTGAATATCCCCTTTGCCAAGTGTCTGTTGGAGCCATTTGCCATATGTCCCCTCCATCCTTTGTCCTTTCAGCCTCACAGTCTCATTGCTGTGATTTTACAATGAGGCGTTGCTAACCTCGTCCCGTGAGATTGTCTCAGCTGCTCTTAGCTCTTAAGTTGCTACAGAGACTTCGAAGCCACTTACTGGTTCCTCCAAATAAAAAAAGAAGGCTTGCTCAGCTTTTGATTAGAGTTGGTTGTTATAGGAGATCACTTTGGTGAGCACATTGGTGGAGATTTTATCTGTTACCATGCTGTGCTCTGTCATGTATTTAAGCCTAGTTTACTTCAGCTTGGCATTGTATTACACAGCTTTTGTTAACCTTTCTAGGTATATGGTCCCATTCAATTGTATTTTTAAAAAGTTTGTTTTCTATTTCTTTATTCCTGTGTTGTAAAGATTAACTTTGTGAAATTTTACTTTTTATTTAAATTATGCCTTTTAATTTTAAAATGTACTGTGAACTTTTAATTCTTAATTCTCTATAGATTCTTTAGTTATTTCTTTCTCTTATCTAACTGTACTGCTTGTCATCAGTAGCCCATATTACTGCACATACTGTAGGTACTGGTTTGTTCTTCACTCATCAGCCATATTTATTTAGCATTTAATCTTTAAAAACAGATACCTCTAACACTCTTTTATTTGATAGTGAGCTGAATTCAAAGCTGCAGGATACTTTGGAACAAATTGAGGTAAGGAGCTTTACAACAAGTTGGGCAGCATTTTCCTTTTGGGGGTGTTTGTCCAGGCAGTCACAGCATTCTTTTCTGTGTTTGTTTTATTTCTCTCACCCCTAGATCACTACATTCAAATCTCTTGTGTTTTATTTGAAATGTCCATGTATAGTCAGAGTAATTCACTTGTAAACTAAATAATGTTTCTAGAATTAGGGGCCTGAAGGCAGAATTTGGAAATGCCACTGTTTCTAGAAATAGTAATCTCCAAACTGGAGATAGATGTGTTGTCATGTTGTAGTATAATAGAAACACTTTCCACAGGTCATGTTTTATAAATTACTTATCCTTTGGCCCAGTAACTTGATTTCATTTTAATTATTAACTGGTTAAAAACCCTCCTAAATTCCAGAACCTCCTAATACCATGTTCAGATTAAAAATGTAGAAGTAGGAAGAAAAGGGTTTATCATGAAGCTTTCTCATCCTCCTGCTTACATTTAGAATCCTCCTGCCTTGTTGGCAGTATTTCCAAAGCAGGGGGCTCATTTTAATAAGCAATAAGTTACTGGATTCTCTTCTTACCTTTTGCTTTCCTGGTTTAGGTACCATAATTGTACAAGTTAGATTATCAAATGGCCTTTTGTTAAAGAAGTCCTTGTTTATAAATACAGTTATTTGCTAATTATAACAGTGTCTGTTTGTTTGTTAATCACAAAAGCAACTGACTTGAATTCTGTAAGTAAATAGTACTCAATATTTTTAATGAGGACTTTCTGTTGAGAACTCAGTATTTATTCAGTCTTTTTTTTTTTTTTCTTTTGCTACTTTGAGTCAGGGTTACTCTGTGTAACAGCTCTGGCTTTCCTGGAACTTGCTCTGTGGACCAGGCTGGCCTGGAACCCAGAGAATCCACCTGCCTCTACTTCCCAAGTGCAGGGATAAAAGGCATGTGCCACCACTGCTGGGCTCTCTATTAATTCTTAATACAAAGTATTATTATATGCATGTAGAAAAATCATTGTTTAAAAATGAAATCATTGAAATAGAAACTCAATAAAAAGTGCATTTAAGATGGAAAAGCTAGCCAGGCGGTGGTGGTGCATGTCTTTAATCTCAACACTCAGGAGGCAAAGGCAGGTGGATCTCTTGAGTTAGAGGCCAGCCTGTTCTATATAGAGCTAGTTCCTTGAAACTCTATCTTGAAAAACCAAAAAAAAAAAAAAAAAAAAGGAAAACTTAATTGGGTATTTATTTTCAAAGTCAGAGTTTTGTTGAGAATTACTTTTTCTTGATTGCAAAATGATTGTTGTATTATATTTTTATAATCCCACACATTCAGTTTATATAATTATGTAATTTTAGCAGATCTTTGAGGAAATGTAAATCTAAGAAATACTATAAAGTAAGGTCTCTTGAAAAACTATACTTATTTTGTTTTTTTTCTGCAATGCATAGGTTTCAAGGCAGATGAATTGATAATGCTAATTTTTTATATAAAACTTAATTAAAATGGCTAATTATAATTTACTTATACTTGGTTTTGACTAATCCAGTATAATGGCAAATAGTTATTAATTATAAAGGAAGGGAAGGTAGTCTTAATATTTTCTTTCCATTGCTTGAAAACAGTTTCCTCATCACCTCTTTTTCTGTTGATTGCATAGGAACAATTGGATGTAGCTCTTTCCAAAATCTGCAAGTATTTTGACATTAATCATTATACCAAGGTTCAGCAAGCTTATCGACTTCTTGGAAAAACACAGGTTAGTTCTAAACAGAGTTCATAATTAGGAACCCATCAACCTTCATGATTGAGTCTGAATATTACCAGTGTGGTCCTTACACAATTTCACTTAAAGTATATTTTAGTGCTGAATTAATAGGGGTAACATGATATTAACAGAGTCTCAGAGTGTAAATAATGTGACTGAAACAGCCTAAAAGTTTGTTTTGAATGATGTTTGTCAGGTTTAATATTTTCACAATTCTCTGTAGGATTTAAGAAAGTATATTATACTTGAGAGCTGAGACAGGAAGACTGCACACCAAGGGAAGTTTGCGCTGCACAGCAAAACCAAACCTGCTTTCAAACAAACAAATAAGCACAAACAGAGGAAAGAAAAGTACAAGCAAATTCAAATTCAATGAGAGATTACATGGAGTGTTTTGTACTTTAAGTCTTGGTCCTGTGATGTGGATCTTAATATGGGGCTTTGTTTGTTCCTAGATTGTCTAGCCTGACTCCCTCAGACGGTATATAAGCTGTTGTTCATTGGGTACATTTACCTGTCAGATAAGTCCGTTCATCTAGCAGATTTCCCCAATACTGACACTTGCTATGTAATGTGCACTCATTATCCCAAGTTTTCCATGAAAAACATGAAACAAGGGTCATGCATGTCCTCTGTGTCTAGGATGATGCATTTATTCAGTCAACTTTTAAACATGATAGACACAAGCTTTTTTTCTTTTTCTTTCTTTTAAATGGTGCCATATTTTGGAAGGAAATTTAAGACTTTTACAAAATGTTTTAAATTCTGTTTACCATTTAAAGTGCCTACTTTTTGTATCTTGTTAATTTCCATTATCTTAAGCTATGTCTTGGGAAAACTGCAAGAAGAAAGTCACTTGGCTTTTCTAAGTGGCACGTGTAAAGACCTTTGGAAATAGAATTATGACTTAATTTCCTCCATAAGATTGTGTTGTGTTCATTAAATGTACATTTGTACCTACTTGCCATATTGCTCCAGGTGCCAGAAAATAGACTATCATATATGTTCTGTTCTGGTGAGGGATGCTGTCTTACTCAGTGTTCTATTGCTGTGAAGAGCCTCCATGACCAAGACAACTCTTATAAAAGAAGACATTCAATTGAGGGTTTGCTTATAGTTTCAGAGGGTTAGTTTATTGTTATGATGGGGAGCATGGGAGCATGCCGACAGACATGAAGCTGGAGAAGTAGCTGAGAGCTTCACATCCTGATCTGTAGACAGCAAGAAGAGAGGGGGGTCTAGGTCTGAGTCAGGCTTTTTGAAACCTCAGACCCCACCCCCAGTGACACACCTCCAAGACCAAACTTACTCCAACAAGGCCAAATCTCCTAATCTTCTAATCCTTTCACACAGTTCCACTTCCAGGTGACTAAGCATTCAAACATATGAGCCTATGGGGGCCATTCTTGATTCAGACCACCACATATACACATGTTAAGTTTGTAAGTGAAGATGCTGTCAGGTGCTATAGGAAATGCTACAAAGAGCCGGAACCAGAGAAAGCAAAAAGAGTGGTGAGAAGTGCTGATTTCAGTAGGTTGGTCAGGAAGCTGACCATTGAGCAATGTCCTGAACAGTGTAAGGGAGTGCGCATCTGGTAGGACAGGACACAGAGCTACAACTATAAATGACGTGGTTGAGAATGGACAAGAAGACCAGCTAGAAAACAGAGCAGGAGCACAGTTTCACAGTTGACACAGCCTGAGTGGGGTTACGCCATGGCTATGTGAAAGCTTCTTTGCAAACAGTCTGTACCGTAGTTAATTGTAAGGATGATAATGATCTCTGTGTTATAGTTATAGTTGATGAGGGTTTTCTTCTGTGTTTTGTCAAATCATTTGACATTTATTAAGACTATGAAATTTCATCATTTATTTTTCTTTCCTAGACTGCAATGGATCAACTTCATATGCACTTCACTCAAGCCATTCACAACACTGTGTTTCAAGTTGTGCTTGGCTATGTGGAGCTGTGTGCAGGAAACACAGATACAAAGTTCCAGAAGCTGCAATATAAAGATCTCTGTACGGTATGCATTCGTTTCACCGTTGCTCTTCACTCCCTTCGGTTTTATGGCAGTAGCTCCCCTCTTCTTTGTACCTACTACTCTCTGAAGATGCCACTGAAGTCAAAAACAAACATGTTTATCTTCTTTTTCTTTCCCAATGTGGTGCTTCATACAAGGCAGGTCAGGAGTGGACGTATGAGAGTGTGCTTTGGCAGCAGGCTTGGCTGACATAGCTCGGGATGTGAAGCACAGAGGCTGACTGCTGGAAATGGTAGTGGCAGTTGCTTTCACAGGGCAGGTTGGGGAGCAGCAGAACCACAGACAGAAACCAGGCATCTCTTGGCTACTCATCCTTTTTTTTTTTTTTAAATAGATAAATCTATATTAGTGAGAAATTTTGAGGACCTTTAGCTGTATGATGTAACTATGATTAAGAAGAAAAATAAGACATATGCTAGCAGACAAATCAGCAAGATCCTTTTGGTTTTTAAAGCATTTCACTCTATAGCCCAAAGTAGTCTTGAGCTTGTATTTGCTCCCTTAGTCCCCCGATCTCCAGAGCTGTGGGCACATGCCACCACCTCTGCTTGTTTGGTTCCTGTTACATGTCAGGTGCCTTGGTGAGCACCTGATGTAGGATGGAAGAGCTCAGGCAGGTCAGGGCTGTAGCTACAGAATTGGAAGTCATTGGAGTCTGCTTGTAGTTAGAGCCCTGAGACCAGATACGGCTGGGGAAAGGGTGAAGGGAGGTGAAGAAAACATGAAGCTGTTGGCTTTGTGGCATTCTGGGTCTAGGTTATAGAAAGGGGATAAAGAATCTGAAAAAGTAGCTGCCAGGGCGGGAGGGCAGCCAAGAGGGTGGTGTCAAAGCAGTGTGCAAGAAGGGTTTGGAGGATGGCACCGGAGGCTGAGTGCAGCGGCAGTGCATGGGCCCAGTGGCTGCAGTGTGGGTGCCGCTGTGTACTGTGCTCACTCATCCAGCTTGGTCTCTCCTGACAGTGTGAGCCTCTGCAGACTCCAGATAAGGAAATGCTAACACTTCTAGGAAGTAGATAGCTGCTTTAAAAATATTTCCAGATATTAGCAAGAAGAATCAACTAATCTTCACTCTTCAATAAGTTTATGAAAAGTACAGGACACACCACACACACACACACACACACACACACACACACACACACACACACACACACCACACACACACACCACACACACACACACACACGTCTTTTGGGAACTGGAGAAATTTTCTTACTTTTGAATATTCTAGAATAGTGGTTCTCAGCCTCCCTCATGCTGCGACCCCTCATATTGTGGTGACCTCCAACCATAAAATTATTTTCATTGCTACTTCATAACTATAATTTTGCTACTGTTGTGAATTATAATGTAAACACTATTGTGAATGGTAATGTAAATATCTGTGTTTTCTGATGGTCTCAGGTGACCCTGTGAAAGAGTTTTTTGACTCCCCAGTGGGATCTTGACCCACAGGTTGAGAACAGCTGGTCTAGAAAGTGTATTTGATATATTAGGGAGTTAATAATGACAGGTATTAGTGCAGTTGGAATATTTTTTTAAAATAATTTTTTAAATCAAGACTGTTTTACCCATTTTGTGGTTATTAACTTTGAGTCTGATATAGTTACATAATTACATACTTGTCCACTTTTAAATAGAGCCATCATTTGATGTTTCTGAACTTTGAAACATTTATTTTTTTTTAATCATATATATTTTATTACCAAAATAGTCACCTTTGTTTTTTTATTTTGTTAGTGGGGCTATAGTTGATAGATGACTTTAAGTGATAAAGCAAGTTACTACAAGTTTGCAATTTCTATTAAACAGAAAATAATTCCTACTAACTAAAAAAGGTATTTTAGACAAATAAGGATCTTTTTACACTGGTTAGATCTGTTGTTTGTATTGGTTTGTGCATATTGTGTATTTTCATATGCTTTTTAAAGTCAAGACTTCATGAGATGGTTCTCTACATTCAAATTAATTTAAGGCTGCAATTTGGACTAGGCTTAATGTATTTTGATGAATGAAAAGTTATTCATAATGTTATGCTTAATTCCCTTTTGTGTTTCTTTTGGATTATTTTCACTGAGAAAAAAACTGATGATAAAGTGATCTTTCGAAGTGGCTGTATGCTTTTAAATGATCAGATTACAAATATCATTGTGGATTGTCTCTTGATAAATGCTTTTTAAAATTACTTAGTCAAAGCACAGGGACAAATAGACTAGTGGAAACACATGAACTGTGAACCAATAGCTGAGGAGCCCCCATGGAACTGGACCAGGCCCTCTGGATAAGTGAGACAGTTGATTAGCTAGAACTGTTTTAGAGGCCCCCAAGCAGTGGGACTGGGACCTGCCCTTGGTACATGAGCTGGCTTTTTGGAACCTAGGGTCTATGCTGAGACATTTTGCTCAGCCTTGGTGTAGGAAGGAGGGGACCGAACCTGCCTCAACTGAATCTACCAGGCTGAGCTGAATCCCCAGGGGAGACCTTGCCTAGGAGGAGGTGGGAATTGGGGGGTGGATTGGTGGGGAGGTCTAGGGGGTGGGAGGAGGGAAGACAGGGGAATTTGCGGTTGTAAAATTAAATTAATTATAATATATTTATATATGTATGTAAAAGTAAGATAGTGAAAATTAAAAATAAAAAAAGAAAGCATACACACATGTGAAGTATTCCTCAGTATGCTGTCAGCAGAAATGAAATAATCTACTGGTAGAAAACTATTTGAAGCCTGCTAAAAAATTGCCATTCTTACTTCAACAGTGTTCTTATATTTAAATAATTGTTTTTATGGTCATTTCAGACATCATAACACACTTTATCATTTGAAACTTTGAAATATGTGTATCGGTGCATGCTTTGTCTGTTTTATAATGCTGGTGTCTATGTGACTGAGGCTGTTTGCCGGCAATTAGAAACACCTACGACCGGCACTCAGGCCTTGTGCCAGCTGTCCTTAGGCAGTCCACTCTGACGTCGTCTTTTTGTTTGTGTGCCTATGCAGCGCTGACGAACAAGTGCTCGGGAGTGGGGAATGGTAGTCTTTCCCTACGAGCTGTTTGTGCTTTTAGTCAGGAAGCTAGTCAGGTGCTAGGAATACATGTCAAATGTTCTATTTAAAAAAATATAATCTATGGAGCGTCGTATTGTCTCTGGTGTTCTGTAGGAGTCATGGCTTCAAGCCCAGACATGTCCCACCCAGTCCTTTGCTTTGTCTGAGACTGCTCAGGTTTCTGGGGGTCAGAAAGTGCATGTGATGTCGACATTGCATACAGCCTGGCACACGCAGAGATCATTAGAGATTTGCAGCTGAGAGGAACTGTCTTTTTAATCACTTTTGCACTTAGAGATGGAGTTCAGGATCTGCCTAGATGCTTTTAGTGATGTTTTGACTAGACATTGCCGCTGCAGCAGCATTTTTCCAGTGGTGCCAATGACCTTGTGGCTCTATTTGCTTAAATCTCTGATTCTGCGTGTGTGTGTGTGTGTGTGTGTGTGTGTGTGTGTGTGTGTGTGTGTGTGTGTGTGTGTTGGGCGGGGGGCGCACTGGCACTGTGGATTTTGGGTCTCCGTAAGATACCAGGGCATCTGTTCTCTGCATGTTTGTTAGGATGTAAGTGGAGTGCTAAATCTAAGTGTGAAACAGCAGGAATTCTGTAAGGACCTCCTAAGAATTCCTGTGTGGTGTGTTTTAATAGTAAAGCATCTTTCTGAGTTTTTTGAGTAGATACTTAATAGAGTTTTCTTATGAGTACAATTGTATAATAAATAAAAGACTGTTAGTCTTTCATATTTATTACTTTACTGTAGCAACTTTGAAAAGATGATATTCTTCCATTGTATACTTAAAGTTCAGAAAGATTGCTTATATTTATGGCTTGATGTACACTATACTTGAAAATCATCTAGATTCACTGTTTATAATCAAGGCTAACATGTCTCTGCTTTTGAGAAGTTAATTTCTTCATTTGAATTCTGATGAGGTAGGCTACTGGCAGTGGTTAATACTAGAGCGGGGAGGTCCTAGGCTTTCTCTGAACTGATTGAGGTGACATGAGAGGCCAGATCTGTTGAATTTAAGCCATTAATCAAGATTAGATTAAGGAGCCTTCATGGTGTTCAACATTTGTGCACTGTGACAGCCAGGTTCAGGTCCAGATCCCGTGGCAGGGTGCTTATTGCCATTTATACTCATCCAAGTTAGGAGACATGAAAATCGTTTCTGTAGATATGGAAGTTTTTCCTTTAAAAGTTATTTAAAATAATCCTTTTCTATACCAAACACTGTTTCTCAGAGACTGCATTTTTCTTTCCTCTCACTGTACCACCTTCCCTGGGGTGAGCGTGGAAAATAACTGTAGAACATGGGGAGATACTAGAAATTGCACTTCTGTTTCCTATCCTTAAAGACAGTTCAAGAAGAGGTATTTTACTGGGTTAGTATTTTCTGAATTGATTCATTCATGATTAACTTCACTTTTCCATCTATGAACATAGAACTGGAATTACAATGTCCAGCCACACACAGTATACCTGGCCTGAAGTAAATGAAGTCAGAACTGGAGCTGAGCTTCCTTGTTAGACATTTAGTAACTGATGACTTACTTAAGCAAATGATGAGATAGGGGGTCTGGTACTCTATCTCTTTTTATGGAAGGTGAAACAGATCCAAAGTGGTTTCTTGTGTGAGGAGAAGTGACTGGCCAGATATGGAACTAGTTCCATGTGGAACCAGGGCCTCCAGTTTCTTAGGTGAGTCTTCCCCATCATGCTTTAGAGGGCTGAAGATTTGATTTCTAGGTGGAAGTTTTATAGACTATTAATCCAGACAGTAATTTTGTCTGGCTGCTTGTTTTCTTTTCCTGCCTGTTTTATGATTGCATGTGATTATGTTGTTATCTACCTATTTTTTCTGTTTTGACTCTTTGGTCATGGTTATACATGCCTGTGTAATATAATAAGGTTTTCTGTGAAATCTGGAAATGCTT